TCCGTGGATTCGGACGCGCGAACTCAAGGATGCTGTTCGTGTGTGTGGGGAAAGTGGCGATATAGTCCTTGCGGGCGATTTGAACTCTAATCTAAGGCTATCGCTGGGGGGCAGCCGAGAACCGACTCCAGAGGGCGGGTGGTGCTACAGACAAGGCTAGACAGCGCAAGGGAGTCAAAACAACGTGTGGTTTTGTCATTAGACTGTTTGGCGGTACTTTTTCTTGGTGAACTCACAAGAAAAATTACGTAGATTTAGGCATATGATTGACGTGCACGAACACTATGTAAATAATGTGTAACTTTGAAATGGGTAGAAGTTCACTGGGTAAATACGAAAGAACAATTTGCTGATATTTTTACAAATCCACTTCCGATTGAACTACATAAAAAATGTGCACGAAAAATAATAAATGAAATGTGATAAAAGAATGATTCACGTATTCGACCGATAAAGTAATTCTATTTCTATTCATTTTAGGAGGAAAACAGAACTGACCATGGAAAAACGATGGATGACTGATCTGCTGATAAATGTTTTTATTATCATTCTTTTTCTTTGATTTAACGTTAAGTAACCATTTTCTTGTTATTTTGAATTTGCTTGAGATGTCTAACGATGCAGTACGGGATCGAGGGAGTGTCAGATACATAACGTGTTTTACATCACATCACTAGACCAAACGGTCATGTGTATGCTTATGTATATATATACATGTGTGTGTGTCGCTCATGTCGCGCGCTACGTCGCAAGACATATCTATAGTGTCAACCGTGGTCCAACCAGATTTACTCGATCCGCTGACAGTTATACTGACGTACGCGCACACACCGATGTTTGTTAAGAGCGATATTAAAACGAGTATTGTTTTTGTAATAATTCATTGTCTGTGTTCAATTATATTAATAAGAGATCCTCCGTATACTTTGCCCAGCATATCATAAAAAAATATATATATATGTGCACGGTAGCGTTCGCTCGCTCGTTTCACGGGCTAATTCCCCGTGTAAAAGCGCTCCTAAAGAAGTTTTACTTTAAAAATACATTTTATTTTATAAGTTTTTTGTTGTTCATATGCTTAATATTTTAAAAGCTTTTGAAATTCAGACAGATATGGCAGCACTATGGAAACGTTCCTGATTGTTCAATCAGAATAGATGGGAAAAGCCACACTCAAATTTTTTATCATGGGACCCATAATGAGACCACTTGTCCATCTTACACAGCGGATTGGATGTATATATAGTAGGGGTTCCCTAATACGAATTATCTTCTCGGAAAGTACTAAGAGAACCGCAATGCAAAAACCGAGCCCACAGCTGACATTGCGCAGAGCACACTTGTCATAGGTACATGGCAGTATGACACTCCCCACTCCCCAGGCTCCAGGCTTCGACACATAGACAAAGAGCTGTGGCTCGAGGATAGTGAAAAATCTAAACCAGCCGCCGCTTTCACTTTGGGCTTCATTACGATTTTTGATAAATCGCTAAATCTAAAATGTTTTCTGAGATTGTTTATAAAATAATCAAAAATGACGATTATGCCCATGCGCAGATTACGAATTACCTAAAAAAATGCTTATCTTGACGAGATCTTAAAAGTCGTCATAGAGCTCCTGAGGTTTAATTGCGTGCAGCAACATTACGCAATACGGTTCGAGACTTATTGTTACACAATTAACGCAGGGTATGCATGGAAGATCCTGCGTAAAATTTGAAAGTGGGCGAAAACTGGACTCAGGCATGGCTCCCACGCCCACCTTGGCCTCAGTTTGGCATCTGACTTGACCTTTAGTGGATTTGTAAAATGGTGCCAACTTGGGCGCAGCATGGCCTGACATGGCATAACTTTTAGACTGTGATTGCCTATTTTCTTCTGCAGATCCATATAATACAGTGACATCAATCGTTTTGTGTAGCAATCTTAAACAACGCTACCTGCAGGGAAAAAGTTGTTAATACTTAATTACTGGCAGCAGGGATGGCCAGGTAGAAAAATGGTTGCAGAAAAGGTTAGTTTTCTACGCGTAGAAAACACGTTAGATACTGTAGAGAATATCAAGGCCTTTCTACATGGTATTCAACATGGAGTTTTCGACACTGTTATAACCCTAATTTCAAGTAAATGCACATAAATTCAGTCTACTAAGTGAGTGTAAGATAAGTTTTAGTTGTTGAATTAAAATTGTAGGTGCTTTAAGTATAAGTATTTTTTTTTTAGTGATGTCCTTATCTGTATTTAGTTAACCTTTCTCGATTTATTTTTCTCTGGGGCCATACCATATAACTTTTCATTGCTTCGCAGGCCTATGTTATATTGTAAGCCCGTAAAGTAAAAAAAAGTTATATGGTACGGACCCAGTACCTCAACAATGTACAGTTGATAAACTTATAAGCATCTACACAGTTCAACAGAGAAGCTTTATATTTATGTATGTATCGTTTTGAGGTTAACAAAATATTTCAATTCCGTTTTCTAAGTTTCCAACAGTTTTCTCTATTTTATACAGTTTTCTAGGTTGTTGACAGTTTCTTACAAATTTACAGTAGAATACTAAAAATTTTATATTGCGTATAATCGAAGCACACACAGGGCTGGCTTGAGCCGTTGTGCCACACAAGCATCTATGCACTGAGAGATACTTTCCATTTACGTGCACAGTGAACGTTTGGCATTCAGCCGCGTGGTGGCGTGTCGACACCTATCTAGCTGAGTGAATACCGAGCGTTCACTCAGCTTTCAGAGGAACAAATTTCGTTCACTCACAAATCTGAGTGAACGCACTCGACGGGCCGTACGAGTGTCTAACCGACACTGAGAATATCATACGTATACATACGTATTTATATGTGCATGGATATACATGATGTTCATCATTTTAGTTTGAAGGGTGACAGCATTGCTATCGTTACTTGTCCAAGAAATTAAATTTAAGTAATAAGTGTAAGACGAAATTTTTTTTTTTACAAAACTTTATTTCATCAATAAATCGTTCAATAACTTTCAATATTTTTTAATCCGTCGCACTAGACTTTACAATCGATGCCTAGGGGCAACGTACAAACAATCGTCTTTTTTTACAATTATACAAGGATATCGGTCATGTAATTTTTGATAAGAGATAACTTTTTTTTCATTTATATTTTTGAAAACGAAGTTTAACGAATAAAGTGCCTCATACTGATAGCGCATGGCAATTGTATATATTTTTACGAAATATCATCAACATTTTAACATCTTCTACAATAACTAAGACCAATCTTTTTCAGTTAGAGTTTTATATGAGTGAACACCATAAATTGTATTTAAATTTGTATGACCATTTAAAACCAAAATTTCATCTGCTAATTCATTATATCCGTATTATATTACAAAATGGTCCTCCGATCAAAATTTGTGGATTGAGATTTGAATCCAAGCACCAAGAGCTAAAAGCAATTGTACAAGCTCAAAGTTCTAGGATAAATATTTTAAAAACTATTGCCACTAGGTATCTCTTAAAATTAATGAATTGTTCTTTTATATCATACAAAAAAGTGAATATTGAATACGGTGCTGTCGTGTCTAATGATATTATTTCTTCTTTTTTTCCTCTTTTTAAAGACAAATGTTGTTTAACTAAAGTACTTATTAATGATGTAACATATAAATTAGGAACTGTAATAGTAGCTTGTATCGGAGAAAATAATCCTGAATTTGGAGAAGTGCAAGAAATTTGCAAAGTTGAAGATGAAATATATTTCTTATACGTTCCATTCAAAATAATTGGCTTCGATACGCATTTTTTTGCTTATAGCGTTTTCAAAAATATAAATGAAAAAAAAGTTATCTCTTATCAAAAATTACATGACCGATATCCTTGTATAATTGTAAAAAAAGACGATTGTTTGTACGTTGCCCCTAGGCATCGATTGTAAAGTCTAGTGCGACGGATTAAAAAATATTAAAAGTTATTGAACGATTTATTGATGAAATAAAGTTTTGTAAAAAAAAATTCCGTCTTACACTTATTACTTAAATTTAATTTCTTGTACAAGTAACGATAGCAATGCTGTCACCCTTCAAACTAAAATGATGAACATCATGTATATCCATGCACATATAAATACGTATGTATACATATGATATTCTCAGTGTCGGTTAGACACTCGTACGGCCCGTCGAGTGCGTTCACTCAGATTTGTGAGTGAACGAAATTTGTTCCTCTGAAAGCTGAGTGAGCGCTCGGTATTCACTCAGATAGATAGGTGTCGACACGCCACCACGCGGCTGAACGCCAAACGTAAACTGTGCACGTAAATGGAAAGTATCTCTCAGTGTGGAGCTATTCACATAGACATTTTTTGCTTATTTTATTGTGAACGTTTATATTGAAAAGGGGGTTTCACTATTCTGCTAAACTTAAAGTGAGTGAACAGACTGAACAGACCTATGCCTCTTTTTTCATCAGGCATCAGGCAACAAAGCTTATAGGTTTGTTCAAGCCAATTCTTGGTGAGACTCGGAGAGACTCTGGGAGCCTCTGAGAATGGAATGAACAAGTGTTCTTGTCCGAGTGTCTCTGAGAGACTCTGGTTGTCCTCGAGAATGTATATGCACACGTTAGGTTAGATAAGTACAAAAAGTAAACAGAATGTCTCAGTGTTAGAGTGAATCTACATAGGATTTTAATTTATCTAACCTAACGTGTGCATATACATTCTCCGGGACAGTCAGAGTCTCTCGGAGACACTCGGAGAAGAACGCTTGTTCATTCCATTCTCGGAGGCACCCAGAGTCTCTTCGAGTCTTACCGAGAATTGGTTTGAACAAATCTTATGGTTGCAACTACGTTGACTGACAGAGAACACAGCATAGGTCTGTTTAGTCTGTTAACTCAATTTCAGTTTAGCAGAACAGTGGAACCCCCTTTTCAATATGAACGTTCACAATGAAATAAGCAAAAAATGCCAATGTTCCATAATGGTGCACACAAGCGTTGTGTTGTGGCTTTTACACTCAATAAGTATGTATATGTCATCGTAATAATTTTATAAGATGCTTATGCGTAGATACATGTCTGCATAGCAATTGAATGAAAAAATTCGGAACTGCTAAAAGTTTTGGAAAAATCATTAATAATATGGATTATGTATTAAAACCTAACAACGCTTATACCCTTTTGTATAGTAGTTTATTCTAAGTTTAATGTGTAATCTTGATATTAATTTAATTCCACTGTGACAACACGTTACTTCTAATTACGGTTAATACAACAATACCTACGTTCATAAAAAAGCTACATAAAAAAATTAGTTTTGGAAGTTTCCCACATATGTACTTAACATGTATCTGATTTACAATGCATGTATTGGTAACAAGCATAATTGCTTATTGTGATGACAAATGATGGTTTATTGTAATGTATATTACAACATTAAATGATTACGTGTAACTTATTATATATGAATATACATGTATGATGAAAGTTTGTACTTAAAACTATTTTTTTAGTTAAAAACATTTTGTTAAATATCTTCTTAAGTAAAGTTCAACATGGCTATGGGAAAATCGTTCCGAATATATGAAAAATCGAAGTCTTCATGTCCATATTCAATCATTTTAGAACATCGCAATTATCAACAAACACTGTTGTTTGAATCTGAAGCTGTAGCTGAACTTAGTAAGTAGGATTAATTGATTCAATTTGAAGTTACTAGAGTCAAAGTTCCACCATATTTTCCTGACAGTATGACTTTCCAGCATAATATTTTCATATAGCTAACATTTTTATGTAATTAAAACTGGATATCAGTTTGGTACCATTAAAATTCTTGCGACTTTCTGTAGAACAGTGGTCTGTTTCTTATGTAGACACTTTACAGTAACACTTCAATAATTGCTCATGCGTGGTGTATTTATCTCAATGGTTAGAGAAGAAAAAAATATTCATCCCATTGTTTTTTAAAAGAGAATTCTACCAGCTTGAATTTTTGCTAAAGAACATTATTATGTAGATTTAAGTCAGAGAAAGTCTCAGTTAAGAAAAGTTTTTATTGACAAATTTTTTAGGAACGAACGAAAGGATGACATTGTTTTCTGTGCAATTTAAACGGTGAATGTGAATTATTACCCATATTCATTGTGATTCATAGTATGAAAACATGTGGTAGTAATCCTCCATGTACATTGTGAAGAGTTTTTATTGGAAAATTGCCAGGATTAATTTGGTCGACTGTTTACTGTAAACAATAGTATATTACGTACCTAGTGAGCGAGGTTAAGAATGTCTTAGATGTCAAGTAAATAAACGCCCGAGGCGAAGCCGAAGGTGGTTAACGTTAAATCTAATGCATTTCTTAACCTCCGAATGTGGTGCGTATTCTGTTTTTTATCAATGCTGCGCCAAGAAAAGTTTAGTGCTATCAATTAAAGAGAGAGCTTCGAGAAAGATGAGCGGTCAATCTTGGGACCGCTCGTGATTAGTCGACCGCTATTTAATGCTCATGGGGACTTGTCATATACTTGTATATATCGACGCTTGGGAGGAAGAGTATCCGAACAAACTGTTTCTAAGAAGACTATTCTAGCACGGAATAGTTTAAGGAAAACTATTTTAATTAGACGCTTTAACGAACAAAATCCTATAGCGTTATAATGTGATGAATAAAATCTTACTAAATTTTCCTACGATGAAAACAATCCCACCCTGTTACTCTGCAGCAAACAAGATTCTCGCGAGTTACACCTTGACGAAAACAATCTTAAGGGTAAGTTTTTAGGAAAAGGATCCTACCACATCACGCTACGGCGAAAAATATCCCTTCGCATTATATTGTGACGAAAACTATCTCATCACGCTGTAGTGTGTCGAAGACTATTCTACCGTGCTTAGTTGCATCGAAAACTATTCAAGGGCTACGTATACGATGAACCAAAAACAATCTCACCGCGTGGAATCGTGACGAATGAAATCTGACAGTAGTACGCAACAACAAAGACAATCTCAACTATAAATTTTTTTAAAGAGAATCGTAGTCCGCCACGCTGTGACAAAGAGAGTCTTGTGACCTTACGATTCAACGAAAACTATCCTACTGCACTATGCCGCGCTGAAAAAAATCCCACCACTCTATGCTGCGATCGATAAAAACCACTGATAAAAGCATTTGTTAATTAATAAATAAAATCATAAATAATTGTTAGATGGCTTACTTAACGATTTAACCAATTTATCGATAAATAAACTGAAATCTATGAATAAATTTAAAAATGGTTGTGAAACAGATGATTATGGAAGCTTGAGCTATTAAGTCTTCAAAGTCACATAATCCAGCTTGTCAACTTATTCAATTATCTAATTTGTTTTGTTGAAAATAAAAATCAGTGCACAAAGAGTGTAGTATAACAGATTAGCAGGTAAGTCTGTGGTTACAACAGGATAGGTGACTTGCTTTAATAATTGATGTAAAATAGTGATCTCGTAAGTAAGTCAATATGAGTCCAATAAAATTGACAGATAATAAAGCATAATAAATACAACGTCTCACAGAATGTATAATTTGCCTGACTAGCTTTTATTTAGAGTATCTAATACGGGGAGTTTAAAGTATAGAAAAGCAATAACCACGTAGCTGCAGTCATAGGTAAATAAATAAATTAAAAAAGCGATGGCTTAGACATACACGCTGACTAGTTTTAATTGAAATTGAGCCTAAGCTACGTACGCCAGCAAGCTTCCCAATAAGCAAATTTTTTAGAAGAAAGAATTCTTTTTGAACATTTGAATGTCCGCTTCAATAGAATTCTTATGAGATCCTTGCACTGCTCTAAAAGTAATCGAAAAAAATTCTAATAGGCATTGTGTAAAGTATTTTTTTAGAATACTTAAAATAATATGATCTGATACTGTAATCTTGAAATAATTGCCAACTTCTAAGCTAGAAGAACACTTTTTGAATTCTTATATAATACTATAAGTGAACATAAAATTATTACTTAAATTTAATTTCTTGTACAAGTAACGATAGCAATGCTGTCACCCTTCAAACTAAAATGATAAACATCATGTATATCCATGGACATATAAATACGTATGTATACATATGATATTCTCAGTGTCGGTTAGACACTCGTACGGCCCGTCGAGTGCGTTCACTCAGATNAAAAATTTTTTGCGTATCTGCTAAAACGATTTTCAAAATGTCGTAGGGATGTTACTAAACCCCATAATTTCCTGGTCATTTTATAAGAACTACGGAGAAAAACTTTAGTTTTTTTTTGTATTGCATATTTGCATGACATCACGATGTTAGAAATACATACTTATTTTTTAATAACGATTTGTAATGCTGTCCGTACGAAATGCGTAAGGGGTGTTGATTGTAGGAAGACTGAGCGATATCCCGAATATTACATTTTCGGGGTAAAAGATTTGTTTAAAAAATATGCGAATCCCTGCATATTTAGAATTCTTTAAAGATTCTTATAGTGTTAAAAAAAATATGAGAAAATTCCTACGAACGTTAACTAAAGTATGTTTTAAGTATTCTTCGACTATTCTTATAAATTAGTGTAGAGTTAAAGTGACGTAGCCACCAGGCGCGTTACAAGAATCGTATTATAAAATATCCAAGTTGATTTTATGTATTTATTAAATGATTTGCTAATAAACTATTATCTTAAAACATGTACTAAAATCAAACTCAATTAAAAAACATAACCCAAATTAAATTTTTTTTACAGTAAGAGATAAATAAAAATTATTGTTCTAAAAAGTCGAAAGTGTTTGCATTTAGTAAGTTAATTAACTAAAATAAGAATTGTATTTTTAATAAAGTTAAAGTAACGTAAATAAAATATAATACGTGATACTTGTACCTCATATGGATATACTTATAGCATTTTTATGTTGTGAAGAAATATCCATAAACTGTACTAAAAGAAGTCTTATTTGATACTAAACTCTGTGCTTGATAGTAAACAAAAAATATGTACTACGTTTGCAGAAAAATTATACTTTTTACGTAAATGCACTTGGAAAATATTCTATTCCAGCTAAAAATTGTTCATAAGAACTGTTATAAGTTCTCAGATAAGTTCTTGTATCAGTTTTTATACAAGAACTTACATTAAAACTTGTAATTGATTATGTATTCTGACATAAACTTATACAAAAATTTATAAAGTCTTTATGCCTGTTTTTGTTATAAAAAAATAAATTTAAAATTGAATGATAACACCAAATCAAATGATAACACCAATAATGGGCTGTTACAGTATTTTAAATAAGTTTTCAAAAAAGTTAAACTTTTTATCTTCTTTATAAATATTTACCTTATTAATTGGTATACACACAAAAAAATTCAAAAGACATCTTATAAGCAATTAATAGAATATTTATTTTAGTATCCTTCAACTATTCTGATGTATCTCTAGATAATTAAAGTGATGTAGCCTCTAAACACGGTAAGACTATCGTATACTTTTTTTTTGTTAGATATACTTAAATAGTTCACAAATACAAACAGTTTAAATGATTTTATGTATTTATCTAATAATTTGCTAACAAACTATTACAAACCACGTAATAAAATTAAACTTAACTTGAAAAAAAAAAAAACATAAATTATAATCCTCAAAGTAGAATAAAAAAAGAAAAATTGCTGTTAAAAGACACAAACGTTTATATTTAGTTAGTCTACAAAAACAAAAATTATTTTTTTTACAAAGTTGCAGTACCATTTAACGTGTGTAAATTGTAAGCTAAGCAGATAATCCTCTCCAGTCAAGTCAAGAAGGTACATGATTTCTAATCTCATGGTTCAAGTTAGCGTCTTGTAGTCAGCAATTTTTTTTCTCTTTCTATTATTGTAGTTATTTTTTATAAATTTAGGTGATAAAAATATTGTTAGCAGTATGGATGTGTGGGTATGTGATCGGGCAATAAAATGTATAATAATATCGCTTTTATTATAAAACACGAACACGTTTATTCTCACTTTCTTGAGTGTATGCTATCTTTCGTCTTTTCAATCAAGGATACAATTGTAAGCTGAACTGAAATAAAGCAAGATCAAATCAAAAAGCAAATACGAAAAGCAGGGAGTGCGTATCGACAGACTGACCGCGCGAGACGGAGCAAACTGTAGTTATTTGATGCTGAAGTGCAGCGTCACGGCGTCTCGTCTTCTTGCTGTTGCGCATGCGTGATAATTCAGTTACGAGTGCCAACAATACATCTAACACTCTCTCCCGTTCGTATCTGAATTCAATAAAATGAAAAGAAAAGACATATTTAATTATAAACACTGAGTATGAATGAATAATTAATCAGCTGAGGATGTGGAGCACGTGGGCTTCTTGATCACTCATTGTGGTTGATTGCGACGAGCTAAAACATACACAGAAAAATAATTTAATCGGCATGTCTACTATCATTATCTATCTATTATCAATTTATTAATTTTACTATCACAAGTTCAATTTTAATTATCATGCTATTTATACTAATTAACATCCAAAATTTCTTTCGTTAGTCTTTCATGCAGTTCAAACGGCAGGGGTTTTGTAAAAATATCTGCTAGTTGTTTCTTGGATGAAATCCATTTAGTAATTATTTTTCCTCTGGATACACATTCCTTAACGTAATGAACCTTTATCTCGGTCATGTATCTTAGTCTT